CTAGGGGTGATATTATGTCGGTTCAAATTATCATGAATTGCCTTCAAAGGTTTGGTCTCTCTTCAGGTTTGAGTATTAATTTTCTGAAATCCAGCATCTATACTGCTGGAATTTATGGATATGAGCTACAAAGAATCATGGAAATTTCAGATTTTCCGAAGGGGTCTATGCCTTTTCGTTATTTGGGTATCCCTCTTGCCGCGGTGAAGCTTAAAGTGAGCTCTTACGCTCCTTTCTTGGATAAAATTGCGGGTTATATTGGTGGTTGGAATTGCTCCCCCCTTTCTTATGCCGGCAAGGTTGAACTTATTAGGACGGTGCTTCAAGGAGTGGAATGCTTTTGGCTCTCTATTTTCCCATACCGGCTACAATTATTTCTAGAATTGTTAGCCTTTGTCGTACCTTTCTTTGGGGAACTAAAAAGCCACTTGTTGCATGGAAGGATATTTGCCTACCGAAGGAAGAAGGGGGTCTTGGATTGAAAGACCTTAAGAGTTGGAATTTAGCACTTTTAGCTAAATCCCTATGAAACATTCATACAAATAAGGAGACCCTTTGGATTAGGTGGATTCACCATGTTTACCTTAAGGGGAATAGCATTTGGGATGTCCCGAAGAGGAAAGACCACTCACCTTTGTTCAAAAAACTGCTGGAAATTCGGGATTTTCTGGTTCTTAGAGGGGGAGCCGGGCAGAATTCTTATTCTGTGGAGATGAACGGTCATGGGGATTTAAATCTGGATAATTCCTCAACTCCGAGTGATGTTTTTTGCCCTAATTCCATGGGAGTCCAGCCTCAACTTAGAGGCCGAAGTGGGCAGATTTACAGCAGACTTTTAGGCAGGCAGACAGTTTTGTTCGGTAAGCAGTTTTTTGATTTTTCAAATGAAAATCTGGGCAGATTGGCTGAAGATAAATTCAATACGAAAACTGCCTATAATTTCTTTAGGCCTAAGGGAACTTTCAAGCCTTGGGGAGCTGAAATTTGGAAACCGTGCATCACTCCAAAGCATGCTTTTATGCTTTGGTTAGGGGCCCAATCAAAGCTCCTCACCAAAGACAAATTGCTCTACTTAGACATCGATCGCAAGTGTATCTTTTGTGGATGTTTTGAAGAGACTTGTGAGCATCTTTTCTTCAAATGCTCTTTCACATCCTCATTATGGGGGAGTATTAGGAGATGGCTTGGCATCACAAGATCAATGACGACACTTGCTATGGCTCTTAAATGGTTAAAAAAGGAGGCTCGGGGGACTTCGTGGCTGAGCAAGGTGAAGAGAGTTGCTCTTGCTACCACAGTGTACTATATTTGGCTAACGAGAAATAGGAAATTATTTGAAGACCTCTCATATAACTTGGATTCCATTGTGAGAAGGATCAAGACCCACGTATACAAAGTCATGTTTACTTTGTATCCGGATGTCTTGACTCTTTATGAATCCTTGGCCATGGAGCTTTGATTCCTTTTGTATTAGCTTTCTACTGTCTTTGCCCGGGTATGCCCGGAGTAATTGTTTATGTTTATTGACATTGATTCGTCCGGGTATGCCCGGTGTACTTGTATTTGATTATGGACATTGTCTCGCCCAGGGATGCCGGGTGTATTTGTACATGGTACATTTTTTATCTATATATTTACATTTACCGATCAAAAAAAAAAATATATCCAAACATATTCTAGTTCAATGCTTGGTGGCTTGCCTACATGTTTATATATATATGAACAATTTCTCTGCTTAAAAGGTCTAAAAACAAAAATATTCCATTACAACTCCTCAAAAATCGTCAAGGACATTAGCATCATGCTAAGCTGCAGTCCATGACACTAGGGTCCAATTGATTAGTTTTCGTTGGTCCATTCCATGCTTAATAACTATGATCTTTACATTTTAATAAAAAGGTACTTCGATCATTTTGCACGATTGAATGATCTATCTAGAAAATGTTCCCCAGCTTCTTTCTTAAAGATATATCCAACCAAATATGTTGCTATTAAAACATTTAGCAGGAGACATATTTTGTTTTGATACAAAAATTAGAAAAATGAAAAAAATATTCATATATATTAAATCTAATATATTAATTTAAACTCAATTGATACATATTTCAGTTAAAATAATATATATAATATTAATATTTAACACCTGATTTATGAAACTTTTTTATGAATTTGTTAAATATGAAATTGTATACTGTAAATATTGTATTTACATATTTTCCCCCTATATAAAATGTATTCAAGCGTGATATAACAAAACAATTTAGAGAAAGCCGGACGTACAGAACCCCTTCTCACGGGGGTTCTCCAGATGTGAGACATGAGGTGAGTCCTCATTAAAAAAGTACCCCAAAAAATCCCGCCCCACCCATGTTTGTGTGTATTCTGACAGAGCCCTATAGGCTTTAGTTCTGTACGTGAAGCATAGTTGAACAATTTATCTAGCATTAAGATTTTCTAAAACATTCTATAGGTAATTTGCACAAGCCGACTTTCTAAATCTGACATCGCAAGATTCTGATTTTACATCCATCTGATTCAAACAACTGCTTATTCACTCGCACACTCCAACCAATATACATACTAAGGGAACGTTCGTAGGCATTCACACGTTCAACATCATCTCATTTTACCCTTCCATGCTGATGCTGCAAGGGGAAATATAATTAAACCAATGTCATGTTTTCATCTCAAATAAAGGCAAAGAGATCTAAGCAAGATAGAAGATAAAATATCACTTCCTTGCAAATATAACATCGCTAAATTTTTTCGTATGTCTCTATGTCTCTACCAAACAAGTGATTTGATCATTAACACATTTGATTAAGAGTGCTCATAAATACATCCCACTTGTATTTCTTTCCACTCCAAACAAAATTTTCTTCTACTCCAACTAATCCTTTTAACATGTACTGTGTGTTAATCTTCTCGTAGTTGGGGAACAGGACAATGAATGTCAGATGGATTTGAGTGCATGAAAAATACTGTATTTCAGTGGTTCACAATGAAGAAGACACAAGACAGATGAAACACAACAAACAGATGGCAAACTGTTATAAACACAAGAACTAATGATAACGAAGGCAGACCTTTATTCCCAGTAAAAAGATGGAATCAATTTCCTTGAGTCTTGGCTGATTGAAGCATTTCAACTATGAGTGTCTTAACATCCCTGAAGAAGTTGGAAATGAAAAATGAGAAAAACAAAATGAGTCGCAACTGCAAGAAGTATTGAGTTTTAAATGAAATAATAGAAATAACTGAGGCATAATTATAGCAACAGCAATGCTCATCCACCATTCTTCACAGAATAGCTTTTCCATGTTCAGTGAACCTTATGCAAGGTATTTCAGTCCGGCAAAATCCCCCAGTTCATACTCCCGTTGCTCCATGAACATGGCCCGTTTCCATAGGTCCACATTATGCTCCCGTTTGGCCCCCATTAATTTTCATTCCATTACATTCTATTTTTCGCTCTCCTATTTTTAACCGCACAATCTTATATAAAATAATATTATACGTAAATCGAAAACTTTTTCTTCTTTTTCAACCACTCATTTTTCAAAAAAATACTATTCCATCCATTTCATTTCCAAAGAAATGTGGCCCAAACGGGGGCTATGATGATAGGAACCAGATATGAATGACTATCATTTACCTTATACATGAAGGACATTCAAACATTTTTATCAACTGCCAGAAAATTGATTACTCACTTTCTGTCCACCGCACGTCTAGTAAAAGGAATTCGAATTTTGAATGTCTCTCCTTGGCAGCCAGCCTGAAGGCAAAAAAAAACTATTTTGATATAAAACACTCAATAAAGTTCATAAAAAAAGTCGTACAAGGGTAAAATTTCTGGGACAAAATGAACCAAGCAAAAATATGTTAACAGGGATAAACAATAGACGATACTGCCAGTATAACCTTCACATTGAAACCAAGACTATCTACGTCCAACATGTAAGCAAAATCCACCTGAAAATTATTAAAATGGATCTTTAATCTTCACAGGTGTAAGAATAATTAAACAGAAGCATGCTGATAAAAATATGCATATCACGCTAATGTAGCCAAATAATACACACACATTTAAGGGAGGACTGTTCATCTTTATACTCAAAATACTAACCTAAACCATGAAACTTGAGGCCAATCCTGAGTATTCTCAAAAAAAAAAAAAAAAGGTTCACGTACAAATTTCATGGTGATAATTGGGGCTAAGAAGTTTCAGACAATGAATAAAAGACATTTAACAGCAGTACTTCTATTAGAAACAGGATGCCCCGTGTAAAATGACAATTTATATTTAATATCAATTATTGTACTTGTTTCCTAACAATCACATTTTTCTTCTAGAGAATATTTTACCCACATTGACAATCTAGGGGGTAGGGAAAGAATACCAAAGGCCGAATAACACAGTACATATCTTGTATCAACAATTAGTAAACCTTATAAAATTAAAACTAAGTGGTAGAAACTTCCAAATGTCTCATATGCATCCAACTTTTTGGAAGATCAATTAGTTTAAGCTACATCAGTAGCAGAATTACAAAATCACAGAAAAACCCTGCCTTGAAATTTTGATGGAAAGAACTCATCAATTGAAATTCTTAATGTTACCGGTATTGACAGAGAGTGCTGCACGATCTGCTTTGTATCCTCTGTATGATCCTTATTCATGTGGGACTAAAGAAAAAGAAAAAGAAAGTCAGTAGAACCTAGAAATGATGAAGACCTAGGAAAAACAACAAAGAAAGTGTGATCAATACGCATTTTTTGGCAAGGACATACAGTTATAGGCTTTGAAAACTGAAATATGGGATCCACTTTGGCCGTTCTAAACTCCTCCTTGCTGAATTCTGCAAATATTTCAAAGGAAATAAGCAGCTACGAACTATTTGAACAGAACATATGACGACAGAAACCATTTTACATATCACAGGGCACGAACTTTGTTCCTCTGCAAGTGACTACCAACGTGCGCGGGAAAGAGAAAAATGTAAGAAATTAAATGCATACCTCCAGCCATGTTATTCAAGATTTAATTGATAATTTGCAATAGAAACGAGTCTTTAAAGCACCAAAAATCTTCCAGCCATTACCCACTTTATAACCCTTCAACTTGATGGAAATAAACAAAGAATGTCCATTTTTAGAGAGAAAATTCTGCAGGGATTTTTGCACGGGTTTGGCTAGGGAGCCTTTGGCATATATACAGGCAACCACCAAACAACTTTCATCCATCATGAAAGTGGGAAGTTTTTTCCTGCAATAACTTCCCTATAATAACCAAATCGAAGTTTTCTAGGCAGTTAATTAACCCACTATCTAAAATTAATTTTATTTCATTTTATATTGACCATGTGGGCCACAAACAGTTTACAAAATAGGCAGGAAATGGATAAGAAACATGGAATAAAAGTGAAGGAAAAATGGGTTGATAATAGACAAACCTCCCGACCCCAACAAAGCTGTCGCAACACCTGTGACATATCGTACAACTTTGGGTTCAATGCGCAGAAATTGGAAGTCACCAAAGTCAACCTTCACAAAGATTTGTCTCATTACTTCAACTAAATAATAATAATGCACCACGCGTACAGGACTAAAGCCATGAAACACAAACAAACTTGACAATGAAGAAGCCGAAGCTCACCCAAAATGCATTGGGATGCTTAGCCAAATATGCAGAACGAACAGCATCTCTTTCCATCGCATCGACCTATACCAAGTAACATAAAGTTCCATATCAGGTGCAGCAGGCATAGAACGGAAGATCAGTAGAATAAATGCATGACCAAATAGAACTTGCATTTAGACATAAGAAATCTGGATGAGAGAATGGTCTAAAAATTGAAGAAAAAGCGATGCTTACTGGAGTTGCATCGCCGTGTACTGTAATAACTAAGTCAGACCTATCCTCTGGATCTTTTGCGACAAGCAGTGAGCATTTGGGATTAGCTAACAGGTCCTGCATTAATTAGCAACGTTCAAAAATTAAAATATATAGTGGAGAAGTTCATGAATATTCTGAAGATTGAATGTTTTTACACCAATCTCATCATTGGAAGAATTACCTCAAATAAAATTACATGTTTAAAGACACGAACAACATATACACAGTAGCAATATTTCACAGGAATACCATTTTGAAGAAGTAAGGAAATTTGATGTTGCGCATTCACTAAGTATAAGAAGTCAACAAGGGTAAAAGAGAATAGTCTTATGGCGAGGGTCAGGCAAATGTTCCTAAAGCTTCCTGAAGTGACAAGTTCCAGATTACAGTACGGACCTTTGCATGCACTGCCAAGTTACTGAGAGCTAATATTGGAGATCCATAAGCATCACAAGCAAAGTCAACCATCGAACCTGATGGATAACCCTCGTGCTTCTGCATTAGAATCCAGGAAATGCACAACAATTAGTCAAACAATCAGAAATATACCCAAACTTATAAGATGTGCAATTGTCGTGTATGCCAACACTAATACTGCATATAGTATGACATCACGTGTGCTTTTTTCAATTTTCCCAATCTAGCAATTGCGATTGTCTAAACTAAACTTTACCAGAGTCGAGCAATTGTATGTATATTTGTTCTGATGCCATTAACTCGATTTCATATCAGTTTTTTTTCAATCCACAAAATTACCAGTTCAAGGCACAGTTAGCCTTTGTTTGTCAACCATTTTACCATGTTATTTTTTCTAAAATACTCATTTCCAAGTGCAAGTTCTTCATTATAATAATATTACACATAAATCAAAAACTTTTTCCTCATCCTCATTTTTAACTACACATTTCAACATCAATCCCTAGTCCATACATCACTTTTTGAAATT